TCACAAAGTTAATATAGTGTTAGCCCATGACCAAGCAATTTGACTTCTACGTATATAGTGAAAATAACTGAAAATATATCTCCATTAAAAAAAAAAAAATCTTTGCACATGAATATTCATAGCGACATTATTCATAATATCTCCAAACTGGAACCAGTCCCAGTGTCCACCAATTGAATGGACAAAACATAGAATATCCATAGAACAGAATATTATCCAGTTATACGGATGAGTGGATCATACCAATCGATGCTTCAACACAGGCGCTTCTTGAAAATTTATGCTAAGGTTAAGAAGCTAGACACCTGGGGCGCCTGGGTGGCTCAGTGGGTTAAGCCTCTGCCTTCGGCTCAGGTCATGATCCCAAGGTCCTGGGATCGAGTCCTGCATCGGGCTCTCTGCTCAGCAGGGAGCCTGCTTTCCCCTCTCGCTCTCTGCCTACTTGTGATCTCCCTCTGTCAAATAAATAAATAAAATCTTAAAAAAAAAAAAAGAAGCTAGACCCAAAATCTACATATTGCATGACTCCATTTATATGAAATTTCTAGAACAGGAGGATGCACAGAGACAGAAAGTAGATGGGTGGTTAACGGGAGCTGGAGTTTGAAAGGAGGGGGAATGGTGGGTTGGGCCTTTTTTTTTTTTTTTTTGGAGTGATGAAAATGTTCTGTAGTTAACAAGGGTGATGGTCGCACAATGTTGTGAATATGCCAAAAACCACGTAACGGTATGCTTTCAAAAAGTGGATTGCATGGTAGGTGAATTAATTACGCTTTTTAAAATAAAGGCAAAATAAAGATATGTTCCAAACCAAAAAAAGAAGCAGAGAGAATTTGTCGCTAGTAGACTACATCAAAAGATACATTAAAGTGAGTTTTGGGGGCAAAAGAAAAATAACACCAGTTGGAAAGCAAGGTACTATGAGAAGGAATAAAAGCAGTAGAGAATATTAAAAATATAAATGAATAATAATTGCTTAAAATAATAATAATGACAATGTCTTATGAAGTGTAAACTGTATGCAAAATTAAAATACCATAATACCCCAAAGGTAAGATGGTGTTGGGAAACCTGGAAATCCACATGAAAAAGAATGAGCACAGACTCTTACATCATACACAAATTAGCTTAAAATGGGATTAAAGATCTCAATGTAAGACTTGAAACTATGAAACTTCTAGAAGAAAACATAAGGGAACACTTCAGAACATTGGGCTTGGCAATTCTTTCTTGGATATGACGCCAAAAGCACAGACCATAAAGCAAATGCAGGCACACAGGGCTGCATTAAGTCCCTCCACGCAGCACAGGAAGCAGTCAATAGGGTGGAAGGACAACCTACAGGATGTCAAAAATCTTCAAAAACCAAATATTGAATATATTCAGACGATATGAAGAACTCTTACAATCCAGTAACAAAACAAAACAAATAGCTTGATGGACACGTGGGTAAAGGAGAGCCCAGATGTCCATCGACAGATGAGTGCATAAAGAAAATGTGGTAGGGGCGCCTGGGTGGCTCAGTGGGTTAAAGCCTCTGCCTTTGCCTCAGGTCATGATCCCAGGGTCCCGGGATCGAGCCCCGCATTGGGCTCTCTGCTCAGCAGGGAGCCTGGTTCCGACTCCCTCTCTCTCTGCCTGCCTCTCTGCCTATTTGTGATCTCTGTCTGTCAAATAAATAAATAAAATCTTTAAAAAAAAAAAGAAAATCTGGTGTGTGTGTGCATACACACACACACACACACACACACACATATTCTGAAGGCTATTACTCAGGCTTCAGAAAGAAGATCTTACCATTTGCAAAGACGTGGATGAACTAGAGAGTATTATGCTGAGCAAAATAAGTCAATCAGAGAAAAACAATTCTCATATGATCTCACTCATATGTGGAATTTAAGAAACAAAACAGATGAATGTAGAAGAAGGGAGGAAAAAACAAAATAAGATGAAGTCAGAGAGGGAGACAAACCACAAGAGGCTGTTAACTATAGGAAACAAACTGTGGGTTACTGGAGGGGAGGTGGGTGGGGGGAGATGGGGTAACTGGGTGACAGGCTTCAGGAGGCCACCCGATGGAATGAGCAGTGGGTGTTATACGCGGCTGATGAATCACTAAACTTTGCCCCTGTAACATGGCAGGTTAATTAATTGCTCAAATTTACATTAAAAATAAATAAATAAAAAGAAAAATAGATAAAGGTCTTAAAGAGATAGTCCTCCAAAGAAGATTGAGAAGATGGCCAACAGGCGTATGAGAAGATACGCGACATCACTAATCATCAGGGAAACGTAAATCAAAACCACAATGAGTTGTTACTTCCCACGTATGAGGATGGATATTGTATTGGTGATAGTGTGGAAAACCTGGATCCCTTATGCATTGTTTGTGGAATTATTGAGTGGTGCAGACACGATGGGAGACAGTATGGAGGTTACTCAAAAAATTAAAAGGGAGGGGCGCCTGGGTGGCTCAGTGGGTTAAAGCCTCTGCCTTCAGCTCTGGTCATGATCCCAGGGTCCTGGGATCGAGCCCCGCATTGGGCTCTCTGCTTGGTGGGGAGCCTGCTTCCTCCCTCTCTCTCTCTGCCTGCTTCTCTGCCTACTTGTGATCTTTGTCTGTCAAATAAATAAATAAAATCTTAAAAAAAAAATTAAAAGGGAAACACAGTGTTGCTGGGTAACATTTCTGGGTGGATATCCAAAAGAACTGGAAACAGGATCTCAAAGATATTTGCCCATCGATGTTCACTGCAGCGTCAATCATAACAGTCAAGATGCATAAGCAACCCAAACTCACCGACCGACGAATGAATAAAGGAAATGCATACATATATACAGAGTAAGATTATTTAGCCTTAAAAAGAAAGAACGCTACAACATGAATGAACTTTGAGGGCTTTCTGCTACGTGAAAGAAGCCAATCACTAAAAGAAAATATTGTACAATTCCACTTACATGACATATCTGAAGTCATCACACTCACAGAAACAGAAAGTAGAATGGTGGTTTTCAGAGGATGGAGGGAGGAGGTTATGGGGAGTTGTTCAATGGGTATGAAATTTCTGTTGTGAAGAAGTTTCAGAGATCGGCTGTACAATACGGTGCATACACTTGGCAATACTGTACGATTCTGTATTGTCCCTGCAAAACTTGCTAAGAGGAGAAAAAAATATTTACTAGCTAATGAAGTCCCCAGCTGGGTTTGCTCTGCCTTGCACTCATGAGATTAGCAGATGATGGGGTCTCAAACATTGTAAAAGCAAAGGTAGGAAGTCTCCCACTGGTGGTCAGTTGAAGTGAACTGGGTTTTGCAGGTATTTCATCCTATATCTGGAACTCCAGCTTGAAAAAATGTGCTAGGGGCGCCTGGGTGGCTCAGTGGGTTAAAGCCTCTGCCTTTGGCTCAGGTCATGATCCCAGGGTCCTGGGATGGAGCCCCGCATAGGACTCTCTGCTCAGCGGGGAGCCTGCTTCCCCCTCTCCCTCTGCCAGCCTCTCTGCCTACTTGTGATCTCTCTGCCAAAGAAAGAAAGAAAAGAAAGAAAGAAAGAAAGAAAGAAAGGAAGGAAGGAAGAAAGAAAGGAAGAAAGGAAGAAAGAAAGAAAGGAAGAAAGAAAGAAAGAAAGAGCTAACAAAGTTAATAAAGTGTGAAGAAAATCTATTGTATTTCTAGATACCAAGAACAAGCATGAAAACTTAAAAAAAATACAATTTGCATTAGCATAAAAAAATCAAATGCTCTAATGAGCTCTAGTGAAAGATGCACGGGACCTCTGCACAGACCTACAAGACGCCAGTAAGATAGATTTTTAGAGACAGGTAAATAGAGGGACATACATGTTCATGAATTAGAAAATTTCATATTTTAAAGGTGTCTGTTCTCCCCAAATAGAATTGAAGTTTCAAAGAAATTTCAAGTTTCAAGAAAATCCCCAGCAAAATTTCCTTTGGTGGAAACTGACAAGCCAGTGTGAAAATGTATAGTGAAATGCAAAGAACTGAGATGAATTCAGACAAATAATATGGCATTGTTGCCAGGAAAAATAAACATTGTTGCAATGGAAAAGAACTGAGGTCGGAAATAGACTCATTTATCCTCACTTGATTTTCAACAAAGGCACTACTGCGAAGTCATGGGGGAAAGCATGATTTAAAAAAATAAAAAAAAGATGGTAAGATTAATTGGATATTCATATGGGAAAAAAGAAATCTTGACCCCCCGCTTCACATCACACATAAAAACCAACCAGATATTTTGTGGACTTTATGTCAGAGGTAAAACAATAAAGCTCCTAGAAGTAAACAGAGGATAATATTTTCATGACCTTAGGGCAGACAACACTTTTTAAACAGCACATAGAAAGCTTGAGCTGTAAAGAAAAAGTCTGATAGATTGAACCTCATTAAAATTAAGAATTTTTGTCCACCAAAAGATTTCATTAAGAAGATAGAAAAGAAACTGAAATAGGAAGAGATTGTATCTGTTTCTATAAATCTATGCCTGTGTGTTTCTTTTATATAACTATATGCAATCCCTATATTTTATGTAGTTTTTTATAATATACATAATATATATAAAATTATAAAATATGTTATATATAGATTTTATATATATATGTAATATATATAAAATTTATATCTAAATCTATATCTGTATCCAGCATATATAAAGAGCTCCTACAAAACAACAATAAGCAACACCAAACTCAATTTTGAAAAGAGGGATGAAAAGCTTAAAGAGACATTTCACCAAAGAAGACATCCAAATAGCCGAGAAACATAGTAAAAGGTGCTTAAAAACATGACTCATCAAGAAAATGCAAATTTATTCTCCGTGTGTAACTGTTTGGAACACTTCTGCTGAACAGAATCCCACTTCCAGGCCACACATCGAAAAGAAACACATACATCTGTACATAAGCAGATGTGTGCCAAGGCGTTCACAGCAGCCTTATTTACAACCACCCCAAACTGGAAAGAACCCAAGCTTTGGTTACCCGGTGTCTTCTTTCCCTCAAGGATGATTCAGGAACAGGAATGTTGAGTGTGTCAGGTCAATCATCATCTCCAGTGGGACTTGGCGGGGATTGGGCCTTGAAAGTGAAAGGTAAGGCAGGAGTGCGGTAAAAACAAAATGGCCTGTTTCCCACAGGGACCAAGAAGAAATGAGGTGGGTGAAGAGGGACTCCCCAGCCATGCCAGAAACAAGAGCCAATAGGTCGCCAGAAGGGGAAGTGTCAAGACTGAGGGACTTCCCAAGAGGGAACTCAGAAGAAAGGGCTCCCAGTTTACCCCTGATCTTCAGGGACTTCTGCCCACCTGCCTTCCTCCTTGTCTCCTCCCTGATCTCTCCAGTGTCCAGCTGGGCACCTCCAACCCAGTCCTCATCGCAGCTGGGTCATTCTGTGCCTCCCCACTGCCCTTCAGAGAAGACCTCAAATCCCTTCGCCTAGCATTCAAGACATTTCAGGATCTGGCCCCCAACATTCCCTCTGACCTCCAGGACCCATCCTGGACTCTAGGTACACCAGATGCCCGACAATTTCCCCAACGTCCCCGTTCACCCCGCTTCCACACCTTAGCACGTGTCCTTTCAGCCACCAGAACTCCCTGTGGTGGCCAGCCAGCCTCCCACTCAGTCTTCAAAATCAAGTTCAAATGACGTCTCTTCTGTCAGTCTTCAAGCTCTCCGAACAAAGAGTATGAGTCACTCTTTCCTCTGGGGTCTATCCCTCCTCCAGAGCACACTGCTCGGGGTGTTTTCAGCAACATTCTGACCAACAGCCCGGCGGGGACCATGTGTCTCTTGGTTACTGCTGAATCGCCAGTGGTTAACCAGCTCCTGACACCCAGCAGATGCACAAAGCTTCTGTTACATGACTGACTAAATGAAAGCAGACGCTTTCTATCATAATGGATTTTGAAGCCTACTTTCAATGTTAAAACCCATGCAATGGGTTTTAGCCAATGTTATTCTTCTTGACTCCTCTTTCTTAAATTTGGTGCACTGAGGATCTTGATGTACTTGATAAGGATAAAAGCTTCACTGCTCTACCACAGGACCTTTGCACATGCCATTCCCTCGGTCTAGAACATTTTTCCTTGTGCTTCTCTGCTTTCTCATCCTCTGATTTCGACTTCTATGTCGCCTTCTCAAAAAGGCAATCACCTGGGGCGCCTGGGTGGCTCAGTGGGTTAAGCCGCTGCCTTCGGCTCAGGTCATGATCTCAGGGTCCTGGGATCGAGTCCCGCATCGGGCTCTCTGCTCAGCAGGGAGCCTGCTTCCCTCTCTCTCTCTCTCTCTGCCTGCCTCTCCGTCTACTTGTGATCTCTCTCTCTGTCAAATAAATAAATAAAATCTTTAAAAAAAAAAAAAAAGGCAATCACCACGTGTCCTCTGCAATTCTCTGGGCCACACATCCCTTTGCTTCCTTCCTCGCAGTTGTGACATTGGAATTAGTTTAGTAAGTGTTTGTGTTTATGATCTGTCTCCATCATGGAGCATGAGCTCCCAGAGGCAGAGAAATTTGTCTGTTTCACTCACAAAAGAAAGTATCCCTATTGCGTGGAGTGGGCCCTGGAGCGCAGCAGGCGCTCAGTGAGTAGCTAGGGGAATGGTGAATGAACAGACAAAGCTAAGAACTGCTGTGTCCTGGGGCGCCCGGGTGCTTCAGTTGGTTAAGTGTTTGCCTTTGGCTCGGGTCGTAGAATCGAGCCCCGCAGCATCGGGCTTCTTGCTCAGAAGAGAGTCTGTTTTTCTCTTTCTCTCTCTCTCTTCCCCTCTGCCCCTCCTCACTGCTTGTTCTCCCTCTCTCAAAATAATAAATAAAATCTTAAAAAAAAAAATTGCTGTGTTCAGTCATACAAGGAGAAGGCCCACAGGCAGCCCCCCACTCCCACCGAGAGACCTCAGTTTCCCCATCAGCTCCAACACACACAGTCCTCAGGAACTTCCCTCCACCCCAAGCAACACCCTCAGCTCCAAGGATCTGAGCAATCATGACTGCTGTCATCAGAATAGTAACAGGAACTTTTAGTGAGGGACAGTGGGCTGCCCGGGGTCGCACAGAAACTTTTTAGCCAAGCAAGAGCTCTCAGGCTGGGGAAGAATCAGCCTGGTAGCCCTCGATCAGAAAGGAGGCTCTCCCACTAACCCATAGTGGACCCTTAGGCGTATCTCTCCCTGTTTGGGGCTCAGTATTCCTCGCCTATAGAACGGGGCAGTGCCCTGGCCTGGCCGAGGGAGTATGAGGCGGGCATACTGCAGGTGTGTGGGGAAGGTTACTTGCTTCTTACAAGTGTTTTTTTTTTATTTTGCCAGTGGCAAGGGGTGGATTGTGGGTGTCTGAGCCCTCGTGAGCCAGGACCGTGGGGTCAGAGCTTAGTCAGTAGAGGTTGAACACGAAGGGAATGTCCTATCCCAACCTCAGCCTGTGACACCTGTCTCTCCCTCCCTAGCCTGAACAAGCCTTGCCTACGGGGACTTCTCCCAGCCTGCACAGCCCTTCTTGGCTCCTCTAGACACCCCTCCCTCCAGCCCCCTCACCCCCAGACCAGGACGGGCTAACTGGAAGGCAGAGGAAGAAGGAATGCTTGCAGCCATGAGGTGGGGGGTTGGGACAGGGCTGGCAGCCTGCCTTCTATTCCCTCCACCACCACCCAGCAGGACCCCGCCAGCCTGCCCTCAGGCTAGCCAAGTGGGCTGAGTGTTATGGATTCCTACTGGAGAAGTCTGCAGTCCCTGGTCCCAATCTACATCCTCAAGCCCTCTTGGCAGATGAGGAAAGGAGAAGCCCAGAGAGGTCCAGCGCCTTGCCTATGGTCACTCAGTGAGGAAGGACCAGCGCCTGAGCAGGGAGCCAGGCTGGGGATCATTTGAGTGGCTGGACCCTTCTTGGGGGCTGGGGGGACCAGCAGGCTAGGCCCCTGCAGCAGGTGTCCCAGCCACTGGGGGACCTCAGGGGGGGGGCCCCTGCCTGCACCCTGGGGAATATTCTCAGGACGTTTCAGAAGTTCCAAGTTTACTCAGATCTTGCATATGAGCTGTCGTAAAAAGTCCCTTTGGCCAGACGCCAGAGCAAGGAGTGGGGGCGGTGGCACCTGTGAGCCGGGGGTGGGGTGGAGGTGGGGCCGGGGGGGGAGTGGCAGAGAGGGGCCCCACCCCCACATTTTGGCAAAGATGGGAGAAGCAGATGACCCTCCTCCTTGAAGGGTTTGTTCCTCCTATCTTCACAGCCGCCTTCCCTCTGCTTGTGAAAGACTCCCTGGGTGACCCTGAAAACCCTACCCCTCTCTGAGCCTCTGTTTCCCCAGCTGTGAAAGGGAGAGTAGGATCACCATAAGAACTTTCACTCCTCGAGGGCTTAGCATGAGCCAGACACCATGCCCTGTGTTCTGGCGAATAACAAGACGGCTATTACCAGCAACATTTCATGTAAAACATAATTGCTACTATTTCTTGTGAGCCAGGGCTGAGCCCCCTTCCCCTCCTCACAGCGTTGGTCCTGTGCATCTGCGCCACTGACTCCCCAGGACCTGGGACAGTGCCTGCTACAAGAGCAGATGCTTAAAAAAAACACACGTAGAATAACAACAAACCGGAAATGGATGTTACAGATGGGGAAAGGGAGGCTCAGAGACGTTGTGTGGCTCACTCAAGGTCACACAGGAACCATGGGGTGAATCTGGGTCTCTGTCTCGTCCTGGCTGACTCCATAGGCCCAAATCCCACCAGCGGTGTGGCTGGTACCCCGGGGTCCCGCGCCCCTGACCTGACCACGGGGACCTCCCAGCCATCACTCCTGCCTGCACACATTTCGAAGGCACTGGCTCTCCTCCCTTGAGTCAAGGATGCCTTCTTCCTTTCATTCATTCATTTTTCAGGCACCAGGAAGAAAAGTGGTGCCTCCCAAAGCCTCTGGTGCCTTTGCCTCCTTCCACTTCCTCCCCCTGCCCCCACCCACTGCCCCGCAAGCCCATTATGGCCTCCAACCCCCACCCCCACCCCTCACTGGGCAGGTGGGAGCCCAGGGCTCGGCCCTTGTCTTGTTCCCCCCACCTCTCCTGGCCCTGGATTTTCCCTTCCCTGTGGGATGGTGAGGATTCCAGACACCGTGCCAGGTGTGGAGTGGGTAGGACTCTGCTGAGCCCACCACGGGGAGCAGGTGATCCGGGCTGTCCCTCTGAAGCCTGCCCAACCCCCTCTCAGAAGGGCCCTCAAGGCTGAGAGTCTTGCTTCTATGTGACCCTGCCCGGAATGTGTGGCCCAAGTAGACCGGGGGACCAAACGTAACTCCGCATCTCATGGCCACAGGTGACCTGGGATCCTCAATCTTCTCATCTGTGAAATGGGCAGAATGAGGCTCTCGGCTGATGTAAGGATAGTGGGAGATCCTCAGGTGTCAGCAGCGGGCTGAGCCCTAGGGCGGGGGCTGGGGTTGGGGAGACAACAGAACCATAGAGGCTGCAGGAGGAAAGACTGCAGGTTCTTGAATATGTCTCTGCACCCTCTTCCGCTCTTGGAGACTGGCCCTTCTCTGCCATGGGCTCCAGGTTCCTTGTGGTTACAGGCTGCCTTCCTGGGCAGACTTCCATCTCTTATGTTCTTATGCCCTCCAATCCTCACAACTAGTCCCACGAGAATAGAAATGTTTCATCCCCATTTTACAGATGAGAAAACTGAGACTCCACAAGGCTGGATGAAGCCCAGAGACTTGCCTGCATTCACCCAGCTAGGGAGTCGCGTGGCTGGCTTTTGAACCCGCCAGGTTTCCACCTCCCCACCCCCACTCCACCATGTGCTTCTAAAATCCCCATGCTTCTTTTCCCCCAGGGGAACGCAGATGTCTTCCCAGGAGCAGCCCCTGCTTTTTAATGCCCCCTGCCCTGGGTCCCTGCTCCCACTGAGCAGCACTGACCATTCCTTCCGCAGGTCCAACATCCCCACCAGAAGCCTTCACTCCCCCACTGCTCTGCCCTGCTCTGCCCGGAAAGTGTCTGTCTGTTCCTTCCCTCCCCTCCTTTCCACAGGTCACTATTCAACCCATGCTTCCAGGCTCAGCCTCACCACCGCCCCCTGCCCCCAGCTCCCCTCTCCTCCGTGGGTCCATCCCCTGGGCTTTCGTGAGAAAGAGACAGTATGGAGGACAAGGCCAGCCTCCGAGTTGCCTGCCCACCCCTCTACGCACGGGTGAGTCACCTTGGGAAAATCGCTCTGCCTCTTAGATCCAGACCTCATTCTTTCTCTATGAAATGGGTACACCAACCCGTTTTGAGGGGTTCGATGACATAAAATAGCTAAAACATGGAACCCAGTCCAAAATCTCTACCTCTCTCCCCCAAAACTGGGCCCCCTAGAGGTGCCGTGCCATGCCATCATTTCACCCGTACCCACTCTGCCCTCCTCAGCTGCCCAAAACCATGTTTGGGATCGGCTTTCCTTCCCCAACCCCTCCCTTCTGGAGGCTGGTTTCCACAGACAGCTCAGGGGGTCCTCTCAGCCATGTCCCTACCTCCAGACCCCCTGCAGACCCACAGAAAGACCCTGTGGTCATCCTGTGTGGTGCACAACAGAAGACTTCAGCCCCAACCCTGCTGGTCTCACTCTCCCAGCTGTGATGAGGGTGAAACCCCTCCAGGACCTCCCACCTCGGGCAGAGAAGATGCCAGGTCCCCACAGAAGACAATGGTTGGAGCTGTTACCTGCTGTTCCAGCTTCTCCCTCAGAAATCCATTCTGTGTGCTCAGGGCAATCCAGTGGGCTCCCAGGGGGTAGCAGTTAGGCTCGGCGTGGGGGTGGGGGACGAGAGTTAGCAGGAACAGGCAGGGTTAGGGGGTGGGGATCCACAGCCTGGCCCGGAGTCACCAGCCAGACAAGCATAGGACCTGTCACCCTGAGGGATGGCAGCCAGGCTCCAGGCAGGCGGGCCACACAGAGGGAGCCAGCATGGGGCAAAGGCCGGTCACATCCCAGAGAGATCAGAAGGCAGAGGCTGAGGTAAGAGACCAATCGGCTGCACCAGGGAGGGGACACACGGCGACAAGGGCTGATCAGGCAGGCAGACAGACAGATGGGGGAAGTCAAGCAAAGCGGCTGGTGGCCAGGCCGGCAGGCAGGCAGACAGACGGTCCTGTGGCTGTCAGTCCCGCTCAGGGAGAAGCCAGCAGTCAGACCCCGGAGCCCGTGGTTCACTCGGCAGAGAGGCCCGGGTGGGTTTGTCAGAGTGTAGCTGCCTCCCCGGCCTCGTGTGCAGGGCGGGGAGGAAGAGGAGGATGTGGTGAGCGGCTCCCCGCAGGCCCCGCCCAACAGAGCCGCTGGCCCCGCCCCAGGGGAGTGAGAAAGCAGTGGGAGGGGGCCGCGCCCCAGGCAGAGCGCTCTGATTACCAAAGGTCACCTGCTAGGAAGACATTTGGGGCCACCACGAGGCCTCGATGCCTCACGGTCATGACCTATGAGAGAGGCAGGCAGGGCCTGGGAGCCACCGCTTCCCACAGATGTGGACGCCAAGGCTCAGAGGGGTGCAGGGGTGGTGTAAGGGGACCCAGGGGGGCCCCGGGGTTTCTCAGAGCCCAACTCTCAGCTCAGAGAGAAGACCGAGGGCCCAGGGCAGAGACTCGAAGAGGTCCCATGCTTCACGTGGGCACACTGCCTGCCTGGCACAGGAGGGGTCTGAACTTGGAACTCCGTCCCAGACTCCCCTGACTCCCTTTCATTTGAATCTAGCTTCCTGCTCCAGGGCTGCAGGGAGCAGGACCCTGACTCCATGCTCTTGAGAAGACAGTCCCTCGGGCACCTCATATCACCTCTCCGAGTGCTTCCTCTCCCCCAGATGTCAAGCGCAGACATCTAGCCCAGAGGAGAGGGCAGCCTTTTTGAGCACATGATAAAAGAAATTCCCAAAAGAGTTTCCATCTTGAGGACAAGCCAGAGGGGCCCATGAAAGGGTTAGATGTCTCTCTCTGGCGGATATTTAAGACATCAGGAGAGAAAATCCAGCAAACTCATACCCAGCAGCCTCAGAGGGCGAGCAAGAGAACTTAACTACCATCACTACTGTTACAATCTTGCATTTTTAAAGCACCTACACGATCTCATTTTATCCCACAAACCCTCTGAGGCAAACAAGACTGTTCTCCCATTTTACAGATGAAGAAAACAAAGCTCAGAGAAAGGAAACATCATTAAGAGGCTAAGAAGCTTCTTAGCTCAGAAGTGACTTCAAGCTAAGAAGTGCCATGTGGGGATTGGATCCTGGGGTTATCTCATTCCTAAGCCTGCACCAGGCTGTGAAAATGGGGCCAAACCAGGACAAAATGTTACGGGGGGGGGGACTCATTTGCACCATTGGGATGATACAGGTTGGCTCAAACGTGCGAGCCATCTCTCCCCAGCTGACTCATTTTTGGGAAACAATTTACAGCTAACCCACATGAGTGCTCCAAAGGAAAAGAGAAAGCATCTTGCTACTATTTCTTCTATTTTTTTTTTCCTTTTTCTAGCTGTTTTTGAGGAACTTGGTACAAATTCCCCTGTGGCTGATTTGAAGGATATTTGCCCTATAGAAATTCTCTCCCCTCACTGTTGAAATATCTCATGTTCTCCAGAGAACCAGTGCTGGGAGGAAGCCAGCTTTTGTTTTTCTTTTCTTTCTCTTGAACTTCAGGGTGAGTTTTATGATACTGTTGCAGAGGAATCTGGGTGGTTGAACGATCAAGGAGAAATACAATGGAGCTAAAATTTGCTGAGATTACTCTGTGTCGGGGTTGTTTCCTTTTTCTAAATTTTTATTTTATTTTTTAAGTAATCTTAAAAAATAAAAGCCCATTTTTTAAATTTAAAATCTTTTTAATTTTATTAATTATTTTATTAATAAAATGAAAGCCCCAACGTGGGACTCGAACCCACAACTCTGAGATCAAGAGCTTCATGCTCCATCAACTAAGCCAGCTGGGCGCTCCTGTGCCAGGATTTTTAAAGCCTTTAAAGATACATCATCTCACTCAAAACTCATCACTGGGGGTGCCTGGGTGACACACTCAGTTAAGCATCTGACTTTTGGTTTCGGCTCAGGTGGTGATCTCAGGGTCATGGGATCAAGTCCTACATTGGGTGTGGATCACAGAGTCTGCTGGAGATTCTCCCTCTCCCTCTGCCTGGCTAAATAAATAAATAAGGTTTTTTGAAAAACCTCATCATTGTCCTCGTCCCTATTTTACAGAGAAGGAAGTTGAGGCTCAGATAGGGCAAATGACTTGTCCAAGGTCACACAGCTGGTGAGTGGTAGAGTTGGGATTTGAACTCAGACTTCGGGATCCCAAGCATATATTCTTAATGGCTCACTACACTGCTTCTGGATGTACGTTAACCCGAGGATAGTCGATCCCTCCTGCCTCCCCACCATTCTTTCCACCCACCCATTCACCCACCTACCCACACATCCACTCTTCTATCCACTCGCCCAGCAGGCCAGCCCCTCTCCCCTTCCCTGCCTTCTGCCCAACAATACTGAGCCAGCCCTTGGCTATGTACTCGGGGTACCCCACAGAAATATACACAAGTGACAGCCCTCGTGCGGCCTGTATTCTAATGGAGAGAGACAGACAAAAAGAACTAACGGACAGATGAAATGTGAAGCGTACTAAGTGTCATAGAAAACCAATGTGAGGTCAAGGCAGGAACATTTAGGGGCAGGCTGGAGGACAGAAAGGACCCAGCTGTCGTGGAAACATTTTAGGCAGAAGGCACTACAAGTACAAAGGCACTGAGGCAGGAAGGAATGGGGCTGGCTCCAGGACCTTGGGAGCAGTGCAGTGGAGCAGAGCCACCAAGCTAAGGAATACAGGGGGCTGGCCGGAAGTCACAGAGTGCGCGCGCACCGCGTGGGACCTGGCAGGACGGCAAGGAAGGTAGATTTGGTTCCCGGGGATATGGGAAGTCATCTGAGGTTTTCATCAAAGGGGTGGCTTAATCCAATGTACATTTTCAAGAAAGTGCTCGGGGCGGTGACTTAGGGAGCAGGTCAGGTGCAGCGGAAGTCACTTAACTCCTTGTGTTTAAAAAGTAGATGATTTTGGAGTGGAAACTGAAGCTGCCTTGTCCATGACCATGACCCCCCTCAGATCTAGATCTGTGTTGAGGGAAGGGTCCCTTGAGGGGGCTCTTTGGGTCTGGGTGTAGCTTACAAGCATGGCCCCCAAAGTCCCAGAAGGAAGGTGTGATAAGACCTCTGGACACCCATCCCAGCCCCCACTAGTATTCAGAGCTGGTCAATGGGGAGGAAGTGGTTAAATTTGCATTTCAGCCAAAGACCTACTGGGGAAAAAAATAATTGAGAGAACCCCTCCTTCAGCTCGTTTCCTCTTTTTTAATTTTAACAGCCTTATTAAAGGCATAATTTACATAGCATAAACTCTAGTCATTGAAGGTGCACAAATCAATGATTTTTAGGGAGTTCAGACTCCGTCATCACCACGACCCAGTTTTAGAACATTTCCAGAAAGATCCCTGACCCAGTTTTAGAACATTTCCAGACAGATCCCTTGTGTCCATCTGTAATCAATCCCATTCCCCCTCCTGGCCCAGCTAATCTTCCTTCTGTCTATACTGACTTCCTTTTCCTTTTCTGGGTATTTCATATAAATTGAATTTTGCACATGGCCTTTTGTGTCTGGTGTCTTTTACTTAGTGTAATGTGTTTGAGGTTCATTCGTGTTGTAGTGTGCATTTCATTCCTATGTGTTGCCGAATAACATTCTACTGCAATAATAGTATTATAATGTAAAGTAATGTGAATTTTGCAACAATGTATCCAATTGACATGCCACGTTTGGTTTATCCATTCATCAGTTGATGGACATTTGGATTATGGTCACTTTGTCTTTATCATAGATAATACTGCATCAGACATCTCCAAGCAAATGAGAAAGAGCACAGACTAGTGGGGCTGGAAGGGACAGAGGGAGAATTCTTCTATGTGTAGATAGCCTGTTGTCCCAGTATCACTTGCTGAAGAGACACTTTTCCCATTGAATTGTCTCGGCATCTTCGTCAAAAATCATTGGCCATCTATGCATAGATTTATTTCCGGACTCTCAATTCAATTCCATTGATATCTATTTCTTTTTTCTTTTTTTTTTTTTTAAGATTATTTGTTTGGGAGAGAGAGAGAGTGTAAGAGTATGAGTGGGGGGAGGGGCAGAGGAAAAGGGAGAGAGAGAGAGAGAGTCCTTAAGCCAACTCCCCTCTGAGCGCAGAGCCTGACATGAGGCTCTGTCCCAGGACCCAGAGATCATGACCTGAGCCAAAATCAAGTGTCAGCTGTTTAACCAACTAAGCCACCAAGATGCCCCAATCTCTGTTTCTACCCTATGTCAGTATCACACTGTTTTGATTACTGTAGATTTGCGGTAAGTTTTGAAATTGGGAGTTTGAGTCCTCCAACTTTGTTATTCTTTTTAGAGACTGTTTCAGGTGTTTTGGGTCCCTTCCAATTCCATATGAATTTTAGGATCAACTTTTCCATTTCTGAGCCAACCAAAGCCTTTTGGGGTTTTGATAGGGATGCAATTCACTCCATAAGTCACTTTGAAAATATTCCCACCTTAACAGTGTTAATTCTTCCATGAACATGGGATGTTCTTTCATTTATTTATATCCTACATTTCTTTCAGCAATGTTTCTTAGTTTCCAGTGTGTACGTCTTTCACCTCCTTGGTTAAATCTATTCCCAACTATCTTATTCTTTTCAATGGTATTGCATATGGAATTGTTTTCTTAATTTCCTTTTCATATTGTTCTAGGGTAGAGAAACACAGCTGTTTTTATGTTGATCTGGCACCCTGGCCTTTTGCTTAATGAATCTGCTAGCCCTAATAATTTCTTTGTGGATCCTTAAGTGTTTTCTAGATATAGTATTATGTTATCCATAAATAGAGGTAGCTTTACTTCCTCCTTGCCAATTTCTTCTTCTTGCTGAATTGCTCGGACTAAAACTTTCAGTATAATGTTGACTAGCAGTGGTACAAGTGGGCATCCTTGCTCCTGATCTCAGGAGGAAAATCCCCAGTCTTTCCTCTATTGAGTGTGATGGTAGCTGTGGTTTTTTCATGTATAACAACAATCATGTAGAGGGATGTCTCTTCTATTCCTAGTTTGTGGAGCGTTTTTATTGCAAAAGGGTGTTTTTCACAAAAGTGCTTTTTCTGCATCAATTGAGAGGATCATGTGGTTT